AAAACATAATTATAATAAGCAAGGCGTGGGCAATCTAAAAAAATATATAAATTAAAGTACTGGAATAATATTAATGCTTCGTGATTGGTCACTTTCATCGTTACGTGACTTCACATCCTAGTATTGAATTGAATTAATGCCTTATTTTACGTGGCGAGACTCGGGCCATCAGGCCCGCTCTTCCGTCTGACCACGCACATTTCGCTACGCTCCTTTCATGGGACACCTATACTAACATGGGACAACCGGCTTTACTTCCCCTTCGAAGGAAGGCGTACGAAGGATTTTTTCGCCCTCACCAACTAGCAGCGAAAGGATTTATTTCTTGGGCGAGAAACTGGCGATTTGAATTTAGCTCAGAGACGTCATTTAGACTTGAGGATCTTTTACATGCAAGTAAATATACTAACACGGGACAGCTGGCTTTACTTCCCCTCCGAAGGAAGGCGTACGAAGGATTTTTTCGTCCTCAAAAATCCACGGCTTTGATCAGGTTTGAACCCGCCAACTTAGGTACAACAGTCCGATACGCTAACCGTTTCATCATCGCCGCCGTCGAAGTACCTTCTCGATGAATCGTTTCTATTCTGACCTTAAGCGAAATTTGCAAAGCCGTAATTCTATGGTTTTATTTTGAATTTTTGTTTATGACGCGACAGCTCTCAGAGTGGTCAGGTACATTTCTGTGTATCTGTAATGTTTCTTCCGCTTTTCTGATTCTTTGTAATTTGAGTTTTTGATTGTCAGGTTTGTGATACGATGGTGAGAGCAAATTATGTTTTCTTGTTTCTTTGTGTTGTACCGAAAAGATGCTTGGGTGTGATTAATTGGATTCAAAACTATGGACTGATTGTGACAGGGTTCACGTGTCGTGTGTGTTCCTACGAGGTTGGCCGAGTGGGAGGAGTTGTGTGATAGCCTCGAGGGAAGTGTAGTAAGAATGAGGCCAGTCACGCGCTAGTGTTCTGAGACGAAGGTCTGTGGTTTGCGAGAAGCAAAATGAATATGAAACATTCTCTTTTTTCCTTGGGGGAGTTTCCATCCTATTACGAAACATGAAGAAATCGAACTCTGATTTTAATAATTTACTTCAGAGCGCTTTCCGAAATTTTAGAGGGAGAGTCCCTCTACTTCCTCTTATGCCCCCTCTCCATCCTCCTCCCCCCTTCTACTGCTTTCTTCTCGATGGTGAAACGCGTTCTCACTTCAACCGAGCATTTTTTTAAAGTTTTTTTTTTACTTTTTTATAATAAGTAATAAAAAAAGAAAATAAGATTATTACAGATCAAAAATATTTTAATTTTAGAAATATCTACAATATTTTCTCTTCAAAATATTGTCTAAGTACAGAATGCGATAAACAACACATCTGTCTTAACATCATCATTAACTTACGTCTGCTCTACACGATGAAACGCAGCTGCGAACCCCACGAAGAAACTTTAAGTGAATAATCAAAATCCCATGATACTAGATCAGCAATTCCCAGATCAATAAAGAGTTAAAACTACAACTGATGAGTGAAGAATTTCCCAATTACCAATTCTACCCTTTAGTAGCACCCCAGGTGCCGAACTCTACTTTAGGAAAAATATCAAAACTTCAAAAGAATTAGATCACGCTATCATATAAATAAATTTAATCCTCGTAATCAAATAATGCTAAAAAATTTCAAATATTACCTAAGTACATTAAACATGTTCTTAAGACAAAATTAGCTAGAATAAATATCTTTCACTACGATTATTTAGAAGTAGCAGCATAGAAACTATGGTTAGAAATGCCCAACTCAAATAAGAGCACAATTGTGTTGTCCTAAAGATAATAATGCCGAACAGACAGAATAACCTAAAAACATTCGATCAGTTTAATTCCAAATTATATGTTACTGTTTATTCGTCGTTTAGGTCCGTAGTCCAGTGCAGTGCAGATTCTTTCTAGGAATACTTATTAAAACATATTTTACCCTGTGTACTGAGTAATGCTGTAGATAATCCCTCCAAAATGTTGAGCACTAATGTGAAGTATTAATACTTAGGGTCTTCGTGAAAACACAATTAATTTACTCTCAAAACAGATCTGTGAATAAATACTAAGCAATTAGGGGAAATAGTACTTACCACAAAAAGTAGACACATATCGATGGATAAACCACAGCACAAAATCACACTCAACACTCACACAATCAGTCTATTACACCATGAGAACAACATACTTCTCCAACCAAAGCTTTATGCAGGAACTTACATAAACTGCAACTAAGAAGTTATAACTCCATGGAAGCGGGAGATGCATAGAAGGGAAAGGTAGGGGAGGGAAACGTGGGCTACGGAATAAATATTGATACGGATAACCCCGAGAGCAAAGAGTAATCTGTAGTTGATTGGATATTGCAATAAAGATCAGGAAACTGATTGTAAAGCATTTAAGCTCTTTTGCTTCTCTGAACATTGTTCCCACGTTGCAAAATATTTACATTTTCGAGACATATTAAATGAGTAATTCTATGCTTGAAGATTCCGTTCTTGTAATTTCTCAATTTGTTAAACAGCATATTAATGTTAAATGCTCTCTTGCAATGTTCACATTCGTTACTTGAAAACCCACGTGATAACTGTCATGGACGTACACAAGAGGGAAGCAACTGCCCTCCTCTAAATCTTCCAACTTCCATGTGATTGTTCATAAAATGTGCCATAATGAATGCTTTACACAAGTGCTGTAATTAACTGTTGAAAAACTAATTCCACAGCAACATTTCTATTCCTTTAGCATGGAGCCTTTGAAGTGCAGAGCGTTCATTCAACACAGTGAATTGAATTGATGCCTTATTTTACGTGGCAAGACCCAGGACATCAGGCACGCTCTTCCGTCTGACCACACAAATTTTGCTACGCTCCTTTCACCAACTAGCGGAGAAAGGAGGCATTTCTTGGGCGACTAAACAGGCGATTTGAATTTAGCTCATAGGCGTTATTTAGGATCTTTTACATGCATGTAAATCTAATAACATGGGACAGCCGGCTTTTCTTCCTCTCCGAAGGTAGGCGTACGAAGGATTTTTCGCCCTTAAAAATCCACGGCGTCGATCGGGTTTGAACCCGCAAAGTTGGGTATAACAGTCCGATACGCTAACCGTTACACAATCGCGGTATTGAGTAGAAACAGTCAAAACAGAATTAGAAGCGACAATGTAGTATGTTCACTGAATATACATAAGATCCGTATATCAGAAAGGAATGAAGAATAAAGTATCAAATGTTTAAAATCTTTCCAGAAAGGCTTTCAGCCCTTATCGTTCCCAGCTGGCTCCGCTGGTGCAAAATCGGCGCAAGAAAGCGAGGAAAAGTGGCAGGAGGAAGGGCATCCTGTTGGCACACGAGTAGTATACATAAACCGCGCGTTAAGGCCAGCTGTGAAATTTAAATATAGAAATTCGTAAATAAGGTGTTTATTCGTATTTGCAATTACTCATGGTAGCTTCTGGTGCAAGAGTGGATTTGTTGCAGTAAGAGTGATATAGCATATGCAGATCAGCACAAAACTCTTCCATTTAAATAAAGTTCTATGAAAGTACCGACTTAGGTGGCTCATCAACTGATGCCACTGCAGTGCCTGTGAATGGCAGGTCCCGATGGTGGCGGGATTTTCAACACTAACTAGGTAGTTAAGTCAAATTCAGCCGCTGTCTGTAAGAGAATTCCTCTCAGTCCAGCTAAGTTATGCAGTGTACATCGATCTCCGTACGAAAGCAACAACATGGCATGACATATCAGTAAAAAATACAATTGTATTGTCTCGTATGCTTCATTATTTATGTTTGGAATTGTAACATACAAAGAATAAAAAAGTGTTTATTACTTCTACCTTAAAATAAAATAATTACAAACCTTTAATCACAGGCGACGATAATAACATCATAGAAACACACAAATCCCAGGACAACAACAAACTTTCGAAAACTTATTAATTCCATGCAAATAAGTATTCTACAAAATTTATCTGCAATAAAAGTTAAACATTTCTGTAATTCCGAATTATTGATTAGTTTATTATTGTATGTGAATATAAAGTATAACAGTTAAGAAACATGCTACCAAACTTGAATCAATGGTATATTGAAGTAATAGTAAAACTTTTATAAATAGAGACCTGATTATAGAAAGGATTATTCACAAAGGAATATTTTTGTGTTGAAAGAGTCTGCTTTAAAAGCGCTACCCGTACGTAAAACATGTAATTCGCCACCGAAGGAGGGCGTATCTGTAATGATATTTT